AGGCACTTTGAAAACAAGCTTCCTCCAAAATCTCTTACACCGCACAGCTGTTAAATCCAGTAGCCAGGTGGAGATGAGCAATTTCTTTCCAACATAACTAATAGATGAGAGGCTGCTCTGGAAGCCTCGCTTGCCTCACTTAAGCCTGGGAAATGCACGGTGACACTCAGCTGGTGCCTGGCACTGGTGGAGATTATCACTGAAGCACCGAAGACTGTGCCAGGAGTCACAACTGTGCCACCTGCATTCCGGCTGGGTATCACAAGCATGCCAGGAAAAGTCAAACAAGCCTGGCTTGTCCTTTCCCAATCCTGGGGGCCAGAGGACACCGTTAACTATCTGCTCCACCTCCCATCTGCATCTCAACCTTGTTCACAGAGTCATTGTCCTTCCTAAGACTCATAGGGTCCCTTGCCAAGTGGTGCCAATCAGAAGTGCTTGCTTTCCCAGCTCGATTATTAAGGACTTCAATGGATTTTGTTTTTCCAGAGTACTTCTATGTCCTTGATAGAGCATTGATGCCCCACGGATGGAAACAAACATTATCATCACTGACCTTGGAGTCAAACGAGACACTTCCTCAGGTTTATGAACTAGTAAAATGGTGCTGTCTAACCTCTACGTTATAGTTTTCATCAAACATACACAAAATAAACACACTAAAGTACACAGCTTCAAAGCATGCGTTTCTGATCGCAGTTGCTTTCTCTGAAGGCAGTGGCCTCCATGTAGCTGCTTACAGAAAAGAGCTGCTCTTGGGTCTCTGTGCAGATGGCCAGCGCTGGCCTCAGACCCTCAGTTCATTACACAGTCTTCCTTTGACCAACAGACCTCTCATTGTAAGGCACGCCAGGTCTCAGCGGATGTCAAAAGCCCCATTCTACCCTGGGTGGATTGTTCACATAAAGGATACCCACACACATTCTGCTGCAGACAAGGACGGACCTAGCTCTGCAGATGTCACTACCACTGCACTGTCACTTTTGCCCGTCACAAAACTTGGGTCTCTTTCCAGAGACTTGCACAAAGCTCCATTCAGACTTTGCCTATGACCAGTGCACGCTTGGCCTGCAGATGGACAGAGATGTAGAAGAAGGCGTCCCACTGTTTCTCCAGGCTTGCCTGGGAAAGCCTGGGAATTCCTGGCTTCTTTACCAGCTTCAGCTCTGGCTTGGAAAAAAACAGCAAGCCAGAAAGTTGCCAATGGTTTCATTCAGTTCATGAGACTGGGTTATTGCAAGTCTGTGAGTGAGACCATCAATACACAAAAGTCAGGAAATCCAGGGAGGCCATTCCCACAGTCACTAAGGCTTCCCACATACAGGTGACCCTTGTCCCTGCCTGGGCTCTGGGCTGCGTCCTTGGCAGAGTCTCGGTGGAAGCTATGCTGGGATATATCACCCTCCAGGGCTTGAGCTAAGGGAAAAGGGATTACATTACAATGTAATTCTTAATAATATTGTTATTTTTAAATTTGATCATAGGCACTGAAGAGTTTACTAATGGTTAGTGAACTGCTTGATAAAATTTTTGTAACACAAATACACCTCTGTAATCAGTGTTTGGTCATGAAGTCTGGCAATGCCAACACTCAGAAGCCATGGACTTTCTTTCCATCTCTACTATGATAATAAAGGCTGGTTATGACAATTGACAAGGATTTTTATGTAAGTATAATCTGAGATATGAGAAGATACACTAACATAAGAAAGTGACTCCTGGAGCTATGTGTGGTGACAAACACTTGTCAACTCAGTGCTGCAGAGGCTGAGGCAGGAGGATTGCAAGAGTTAGGCCAGCTTGGGCTGTATAGTGAGAACTTGTCTCTATAAAGGAGAGAGAGGGAAGAGAAGAAGGGAGAAAAAAGAAGGAAAAGACAGAAGATAGTTGGGGAAGAGAGCAGAGGAGAGAGAGAGAGAAGAGAGGAGGGAGGGGGGAACCTTGCGATGTGAGGCTGCCTTGACAGCCTTGTCCAGTTGTCGTCCCTGGAACTGGAGGAAAGAGCACAGGACAAAGGATGCAGATCCTCTGGAAAGTGTGGAGATGCTGTCTCCAGAGACAGCATCCTTTCTTCCAGACAGATACTCCTGAATGAGGAAACACACATCACAGAAGTCCTGCACTGCCAATCAGGTTAACACGGAGCCACCCCAGGCCTCTGAGTGTGAAGGTCTGGGATACCTGGTGTTGTGTAGTGATTTTCTCAGATTTCGAACATAAGAAAATCTAGTTAAGACTCGGGAAATTCTAATGGAGGTGAAACATCCATCCGGCAGAGAAGCTCCTCAAACAAAAAAACTCAATAGCTTCAGGAAGTCCCTGAAATAGGTCCCTCCCTTCCCAGCTTAGATAAGCAGTGTGGACTTCTCAGAGACTTCTGGCAGGCTGAGTTGCCTGGGAAAGGCAGAGATGTGCACAGAGCTGGTCAGAATCCATCAAAGGCTCTTCTGTTCCTACACACACCTGTTCCTTCTAGATATCCATCCAGGCCTTCTTGTGGGTCTGGAACCCACCTGTCCTTTCACACAGCAAGTTTTGCACATTCTGCAAGGCCCAGAGTAAGCATCCCTGCCCCATATGTGCTTCTTGATTAGCCCTCATCTCTGCTTCTTAATATCCCATTAATGATCCCTTCCCAACTACTACCACAGTGCACTCTAATTATCCTTTATGACACTTGCCCCACTGAGTGGGCTAAGAATTCCCTCTGACAACATTAGCATTCTCTAGGTCTAACATAGATAATGAATGGGTGGGAGGATGGATGGATGGATGGATGGATGGATGGATGGATGGATGGATGGGTAGGTGGGTGGACAAGTGGATGGACAAGTAGATGGATGGATGAGTGGGTAGCTGGATAGGTGGATGGATGGATGGATGGATGGATGGATGGATGGATGGATGGATGGATGGATGGATGGACAAGTAGATGGATGGATGAGTGGGTAGGTGGATGGGTGGGTGGGTGTGTGGACGGATGAGTGGGTGGGATGGATGGGTGGGTGGACGAATGGATATATGGATGGATAGATAGGTGGATGGATGGATGGATGAGTGGGTAGGTAGATGGGTGGATGGGTGGGTGAGTGGATGGATGGATGGATGGATGGATGGGTAGATGAGTAAATGGATATGGGTGGATATGGTTATCGGAAGGTGCTTCATAAATCATAAACTGGTCCGTTCTGATTCATTATCATAAACTGCTGGTTGTCTGAAACTCAAGCTTTTCTTCTGGCCTGGGCCCTCTCCTTACCTTTCTAAAACACAACAATGCCTTTGCCACTTCAGCAGCATCTAGAATTCTCTGCCTTTGCATGTCAGTGTGTGTGGAATTTGTCCTTCTTTTCAGTTTCATTGTTCTTTCTGACTAACTTCAGAGTCTACAGTTCTGGTGGACATGTACCTCTTTCTTTTACTTCAAAAATCAAACATGGGCAAATAGTCTTATTGGGAGAAAATGATCAAATGTGCCAGAGGATCGCTCCCCAGAGAACAATGGCATGGAGGTCAGTCCCTCACCCACACTACTCCTCAGCAGACAATCCGGCTTTTGTTAAGCACCTATACACAGCAATGGGGCTTCTGGGAAAGATAAGCTGAATTCAGTCAAATAAGATGTCTACCCAGAGCTGCTCCATGGCAGCTGACAGCATCCTCAGTGGAGGAGGAGTTTGGAATCACACTCCTAGGATACAACACATTCCATGTATTCTAAGAGTAGCTACATGGTAGAAGCAAGTTCACAAAGGCACAGGGACACATGAAGGACACAGAATAAAAATTGTAAATGGTAGAAAGAATAGAGAACTGAACAAGTAGAGATACAAGATGAACAAAGATGCCCTTAACATGGAAAGGCAATGTGGAGAAGTTTGATCAAGAAAAGCATATTGATGTCACTGATAGTGCGTTGGGATCGCATGTCAGAAGAGCACCAAAGCTACACAGAATGTTGGCAACCACAGACTCAAACACATGATTTGAGGCATCTCACTTGGCAAGGTACTTCACAGAAGCATCAGCCATGATTGCCACCAATATAGTTTGATTTCAGTGTTACTCAGATCAACTTATCCCAGAATGGTCCTATGTGATGTCTTTTATAATCTCAATTTTTTAAATCCCTTTGGGGAACATTCTAGAAAGCACAAATTAAAAATGATTCTATTTTCAAATTTGAGGGGTAGTCCACAAAGCACGTAGTCTGGACCCTAAATGTTAACAGACCGTGAAAGGGGAGATGTTAGGGGACTTTGTTCACGATTAAACATCAGGTGGGAGATCCCGGAGTCCAGACACTCGTGAGACTGCAGCAGGGAGTTAGATAGAGCATTCCAGGCCAGCCTGGGCTATAGTGAGACTCTGGGGAAGTGAAAAAAGAAAAAAAGAAAGGAGGAGGGGAGAGAGGAAAGGAGGAGGGTAACTAAGGACAGATGACAGCTAAATGAATTCTGGGACACTGGCTTGTACCCTAGACATGAGTTATTTTCTTATGAGAGAACTAGATTTTTAAAAAAGAAAAGAAAAGAATTGGTAAAATGTGAATGGATCTATAAATTACATATACATGTATTTTGTGGTGGTTCTGTGAGCAAGTATCTTTGATTTTAAAAAGCACACATGAAAGGGGGATTGGGATAGATGTGATACAGGTACACACATGCATCTATGTATGAAATTGTCTAGGGTGTTGTAGAGATTGCTCAGCGGTTAAGAGCATTTGTTTGTTCTTCCAAAGGACCTGGGTTCAATTCTCAGCACCCACATGGTGGCTCACAACCATCAGTGATTCCAGTTCCAGAGGATTTGATGCCCTCTTCTGGCCTCGACAGGCACTGCATGTACATGATACACTTACATACTTGGAAGCAAAATGTATACATATAAAATACATATAAAACCTTTTAAAACTGCCAAAGAATAAGTAAAAATTAAATTTTAAAAAAGCCCACATTGAGATATCTGGGGTAAAAGAACATGTGCCATACTTATTACAGCCAGCCTCACATGAGCCTTGATAGGACCGAAGTTCCAAAGAGTGCAAAGACAGCACGCTGAAGAGGAGCGGCTCAGGAGCCAAGCGATGGAGCGCCCGAGGAGCTGCTCAGATCGCTGCCCACTGTGGTGCACGACGCATCGGGCAGACAGCTGCACCCTTGACGGTCCTCGGTGTTCATCTGAGGACGTCAAGACCCTGGCAGCCCACGCTTACTGCAGCTTTGGCCAGAGCCAGGAGCCTCACAAGCTCTGAGCGCGTGAACAACAGCGTTTACACGTGAGAAGACCGAGGTACACAGGAAGCAGCTTGCTAACGGTCACATAGCTGAATGGGATGAAAACTGAACCGTCGTTTGATTCCAGTGTCCTCTTCCAGCGTTCCTGTGATAAGTGAGATGTGTCAAATCTCTAGTCACATTTAATTAGTGCCTGTGCCATGGGGTGCTCGGTGGAGTTTGGCTTAATTACTTCACCCTCTCCCGAGAGTAGGCCCTGAAGACACAAAGGAACTGGATCCTCGGTCTCCGGAGCTACGGTTTCTTTGCTCACTAACCCTTTTGCAGAGTTGTGTCAAATCACATATTGTAGAAGCTAAGCATCAGGTGTTTGGGAAGAGGAAACGCAGGGGTAATGTAGTGAAATATCCTTTCATGTAACAATTCATAACACTGTAGCTTAACTCCATGAGACTTGGCTACAAGATTCAGTTAGAACAGTGGTTCTCAACCTTCCTAATGCTGCAACCCTTTAATACAGTTCCTCATGTTGTGGTGACCCCCAACCATAAAATTCTTTTTGTTGCTACTTCATAACTGCAATTCTGCTACTGTTATGAATCATAATGTAAATACCTCATGTGCAAGGTATCTGGTATGCAACCCCTGTGAAAGAGTCCTTCAGGCCCCAGGTTGAGAACCACTGAGTTAAAAGCTTTGGGTGTAGCTCTGGTTCAGTGCTGGCCTTGCATGTTTAACGCCCTGGGCTTAATCCCCAGCACAGTCACAAAAGAAAGACCCATTTAGATTTTGAACGTTTTCTCAGACTCCTTGGATTCCTTCCACAGGACGCTACAGAATGAGAGGGAAAGATGTTTGTTTAGTCATAACGGTGGTGTGCACACTTTTGTTATTTGCTCAGTCATAACGGTGGTGTGCACACTTTTGTTATTTGCTCAGTCATAACGGTGGTGTGCACACTTTAGGAACACACTTGGGCTTCTCTCCAGGAATCATGATCATATATCTTGTCTAGTTAAAGATATTGGATGCCGTTCAAACAAGTCACTCTTGCATCTTCTAAGATGTTTGGCTATTTACAGAGTGTGGCCTTTGATGGCGTGCACGTGCTTAGGGTTAATTCTGAGTTGGAGGTCATCTTGATTGCCCCCCCCCCAAATTCAAAGGAGGACTGGGTTCATTTTCTAGATCTAAGTGCCACAGATTGATGGCTTAAGCAACAGAATTTTTTTTTCCAAATTTTGGAGGCTGTAAGTCTGAAATCCAGATGCCTGCAGCCTTCAGGTTTTTAGGCCCCTCTCTTTGGTAAGCAGGTGCATGCATCCTCTTTGTCTTTACCCATTACTCTTGTTTCTGTGTCCTCATTTCTTCTCCTTCTAAGGACATCAGTCACACTGGTGTAGGTTCTATTGTAATAGCCTCATTTTCATTTTAATTACCAGTTTAAAGACCTTGTCTCTAAATATAGTCACATTCAGGCAACTCAGAGCTAGGACTACAACCTATGAGTTGGCAATGGAGGGTGCATAACTGAGCCCTAAAACAGAAATTTAGAGAAGAAATAAAGAAGCCATGCAATGTGCCTTCAATTATAGGAGTGAGCATCTCTTGGAAATTTGCTGCTCATGAGCATCTGATGCCTATTTCCCAGAGCAGCCGTCTCCTGTCCGTGGACATCCCTGGGAAGCAGTCCACTGGTCTGAGCAAAGTTTGCATAAACTCCTTCTGAGACTTGGCTAATCACCTACAGCTTCCCCACCCAGACAACTCAGCATGATCATCTATGACGTCACTTTAGTGCCTGGCACAACCATCTTCCATGTACTGCTCAGACTCAGCAGCACCAGATGTTTACACATCATGGGCCAACACCACTGCTGCCTTCCACACTCAGCCAGTGTCTGGGAAACCCGGAAAAATCCACCCCCTTAGGAGCTGCTGTGATTCTTGAGTTTTGTTTACTACGGACACTGACTCTTGCCTTCAGATCTCATGGAGAGCATACTCCAGAGCACAGCGACATGTCTGATGTGGTGTGCACAGCTGACAAATGTCCCCCGTGTACCGACAAGGTGGGTTGGGAGACCATAACCCAGAAGTAGAGCTCTGGGGCTGCTCCCAGACCTCCTTGCCTCACACTTGACTTCTGACTTGGAAACCAGAGGCCTTCAACCTAAAGCTTAGATTGACTTGAAGAAACTTTGGGCTTCTAGTTTGGTTGTCATGAAATGAGATACAATTTTAAAATACACCAGGGTTGGGGGATGGCCCAGTGGACAAGAGGACTTCAGTCTGGATCTCCCAGCACCCACATAAAAAGCCCTGCACAGTCTCATGTGCCTGTAACCCAAGGGCCTGTGGTGGGGGAGGTGTTCTGTGGCTTCTGGCTGCCAGCAGAACTCAACAACAGCAAGCCCCAGGTCCAGTGAGAGAGCCAGTCGTAAAAGAACAGTGAGAAAACAGAGGGCACTTGATGTCCTTCTCTGCCCTCCACAGGGCCATGCATGGAGGTGCTCACCCGCGCGCACACACACACACACACACACACACACACACACACACACATGATGTATATGTGTGTATACATATATGTACGCATGTATATGTATACATATGCTTACAAATATTGCATGTGTAAGAAGCAAAGTTTATTGGAAGGCAAAATAAATCTTAATTAAAAAGCCAAAACTATATTAAACAAATACACTCTTAATTGTTCATTGTCAAAAAAGAACTTAAAGCCATTGTATCTGTTATTTGTATCTTACATCACATATTAGTTTATGCTGATTTTCAGATAAAAATAAGATGTGTCTTATGGCAAAAAAACAGTTGTCTTATGTCCCATGAGAATATTTAGACCTATGATTTTATTGCGCTGGATTTTTCCCTGTTGATTCTTGTAGCTTTAGACGTCTGGCCAAGAAGGATTGTTACTTTAGAATAAACTGAATGTAGTAAAACACTTGAGCACCAGGGGGCAGCATAGACCTGATCCTGCACTGGATCCTGACCAGGTCCAAACTGACTCCAGGGAAGACTTCCGTTACCAGGATCTGAAAGTTCTCTTGCCCAGAACCCCCTGGTAGCAAATCCTTGCACATCGTTTCCTATGTGGTGCTAGGTGGGAATTCCAAGTTTCTGGTCAAAGGCAATCTGAGTTCCTATTGGCATGTGTAGTGACCCCCAGGTAACAGAGAAGTACCATTTGGGACCAGATCTGTATAGGTGCTAATTCAAGTTTTGTGGGTGGGGGGTGAAGGGTGGGCCTTGCTCAGCCTGGGGCAGGGGAAACATCAGAACCCCAGACTTGGTCAGATAAGTAAAGGAGTGTGGAGTTACACTGTTGCACCTTTCAGTGTTTTAACTTCCCTCTCCATCACTTCCTGTTTAGATGAGAAGGAAATGGGGTGAGATCACCAAATGAAACAAAGCAGTAGAGGTCTCACTGGTACCCCATTAGTTGTGAAACGCAGGGAACACCTTCCCCCACCCGTCATGTTCTTCTTACATTTAAAAAAATCTATTTCTATATGGTGTAATAACAGAACTTAGCCAGCCTCAACCTCTGTGGGACAGGCAGCCTCCCAATTTATCTAGGACCCTGCGTGACTTGTTCTGTCCGACTGTGGCGTGGATGGAGCGAGGCTGCGTGGCTTGTTCTGTCCGACTGTAGCGTGGATGGAGCGAGGCTGTGTGGCTTGTTCTGTCCGACTGTAGCGTGGATGGAGCGAGGCTGTGTGGCTTGTTCTGTCTGACTGTGGCGTGGATGGAGCGAGGCTGCGTGGCTTGTTCTGTCCGACTGTAGCGTGGATGGAGCGAGGCTGCGTGGCTTGGGACGAATCGGGGGCAGCAGTGCTCAGAGCCTGGCTCTCCCTGTGGTTCCCACACACCAGCTTCCCATTCATCTCTGTGATTGATGCTCCTGGGGCGGCCGGGAAACCCTGTCTGTGAGCTAATTATTATGGGGACTGACCTGCGTCCGCTGGTCAGGAGTGAGTAGGCGAGGCTTAGGTGAGAGCTGGCTATTCACAAGAGGGCAGCCTTTGATGCGAACAAGCAGAGAGTTTGGCCGAAACTCAACACCTCTCAGAAGCAGAGATTAGTCAAAAGGAAGAAAGGAGAAGGCATTGTGGAAGTCTTCAGGGAGGAGACAAAGATGCCTGTGTTTTGTATCGCTCAGCTGCCCCAGGAAAATGTCCATTTGTTTTCTTTACACTCCTTTTTACATTTTAAGTGGGATCTAGTGAATGTATCTTTTCAGAGTTCCCAATTTCAACATTTTCACTACACCTCATGTTGCCATTTTAATGAAGCATCATCTTTCCAGAGAGTGTGGGAACAAAACCTATTTGACGACCTCTCAGAGCAAGCACTGAGTTCTCCAAATATTTCCCTGAATTAAACCCTCTACCCTGCAGTCCGTTTCCTTTTTAAAATGCCAGTTTGCCAACTACTGCAAACCAACAAACAGGCCTTTCCTTCACCCTCAAGTCAGTGGGCCCCTGTGGAGCCCCACACTCCACAGGAATCCTGGGAAACAGCCCTGCAGAAGGGTTTCATCAGAGCTTGGTGCTTGGATGCAGGATATATCAGCGGGACACTTTGCATCCTGTGTCACGGAATGAGTATGTACAAGAACATGGAGTGACCTTGCAGATTATCTAATCCGGCCCCTCACAGCACAGATGAAAACACAGAGCCCAACACAGAGAGGCAAACAAGCACCACACAGGGTGAGCAGGCAGAGCGGGAAGCTATGGAGGGACCTCAACATTAAGGGCAATTATGCAAAAGATGTATTCCTGGGTCCTGTGCTAAATGAACTGAGTGGAAATTTCTAGAGGCAGGAAATGAGAACGTGTATTAGAACAGCATGGTATATCATGGCTCCAAACATGCTGACTTCTTGAAAGAACCAGTCCCAGGAGGAGAGGCTCAGGGCTGCATTTGAATCCATATCTTTGACAAATTAATGCCCCTGAAGTTGGTTTCCATGACTGGCCCTGGGAAGATGTGAGCACTACTCTGTATGTAGACACTCTTAGACCCTGGAACCTAGCATAGTTCACGTCAGTCAGCATCACACTGCCTGTCACCTGAAGGAGAGAACAACACAAGACTGCTAGATTTGGGTTCCATAACCCCTAGCGGTAGACTGTGTGAGCTTGGATACATCATTGGTCCTCCCCAAAACCCTCACATAAAAGTACAGGTGATGCTCCCTCCTGCCAAGAGTGGTAACAAAGGTTAAATGTAACATCCCACACATTGAGACAGCATCATCAAGTCAGAAAAAGGACCAACCACCCTAGGTCTTTGCAATAGGCAGAATCAAAGGCAGGGGATTAATTCCATGGAAGGCGGAGCTCTAAGTAGGCAAACAGCACAGATATTAGCTGCCGCAGAAACAAAGGAAGGTGGTAGTCTTTAAAAGCTCAGAATCCAAAGTCACTAGCAGCAGCTGGAGCCATTATGGGGGAGGGTGATTAACTCTGCACAGGAGAATTAGCTGCTTCTGCATGGCGAGATGCCACACTTGACAGGTGGGGAGGAGAAAGACCCTTTCTTTCCATTACTCCACTCTAGCTCCCTGGCAGGGATTCTTCTTGCCCACTGGAGGAAGAAGTCAGAGGATGCAGAAGCATGGTTCCTAGGAAAAGAGAAAGGGCAGAGGCCTGAGCAGAAACACACACACACACACACACACACACACACACACACACACACACACACTCTCCGCCACAGAGGAAGTGGTCTTTCAGCACCCTTCATTGTAATTGTCAGCAGGCTATAGCAGCCCCAATGGGCTCTTTATAAGAACTAGGGGGCTGCCTAGATTGTTAAAGGCATGTGTATTATACAGACAGCATTTCTCCCGGGGATGGCCACACACAGAAGAACAGTCTGAAATGATGAAGAATAGATTATTTTACAAGAAACTATGGTGCAAAGAGGTCAGAGACCTGAAGGTACTTTGTACACTTACATGTATGTGCTAAACAAGTGCTGGGTGTGTTTGCGTTATCAAAGGGCACATTTTCAAAAGAGTAACTGACATACTCACTGTCATTGTATTGGTCAGTGTTTTGTCAGCTTGACACGGACTGGGGTCATCCGGGAAGAGAGAACCTCAACTGAGAAAATGTTGCCGTCAGAGTGTCTATACACAAGTTATCAATGACTTATATAGAAGAGTTCATCCCACTGAGGGCAGTGCCACCCATGGGCAGCTGGTCTTGGGTGGCTGAGCAAGCCATGAAGAGCAAGTCAGTAAGCAGCACTCCTCCGTGGTCTCTGCTTAAGCTTCTTCCTGCAGGTTCCTGCCTTGAGTTCCTGCCCTGACTCCCTTTCATGATGGACTGTAAGCTGTAAGATGAAATAAACCCTTTTGTTCTCAAGTTGCTTTTGGTCAGTGTTTTATCACAGCAATAGCAGGCAAATGAATATGATCATGTATCTCAAGTATAACGTGTGTGTGTGTGTGTGTGTGTGTGTGTGTGTGTTGTGTTGTGTGAACATATGCCTCCCATGCACATGCTTGTGGAGGACAGAGGTTGAGGTTAAGTATGTCTCTTGATCACTCTCCATTGTGTTTTCTGAAAGAGTGTCTCTTCCCTGAACCTGGATGGAGTTGCCGTTTTTGGATAGACTGCTAGCCAGGAACTACCTGAGAACTGCATGCCTCCGACGCATATGCTAAGTGCTGGAGTTACAGGCACACACTGCCATATCCAGCTTCTACCTGGTTCTGGGACTCTGAACTCGAGTCTCCATCTTATACAGCAAGCTTTTGCCCACTGAGCCATCTCCCCCAGGCCCAATCTTTTTTTTTTTCTACCTAAGTTTTCAATTTCATCATTTGCTTTTCAGAAATTCAGATAGAACCCAATTTGAATGAATGCTGTTTACATTTCTGAGCTCAGTGCTACTAAAAAGATGTTCCAGCCAACACGTGTGAAAACCACTTAGCTGATATGATGACAATGTTTTCCCAAAACAAGTTTGTGTGTTTTCACAAACTTTGTCCTTTTTATTCCATCTCCATCCATGAGGATGATTAAACTATTCCTTCATAACAATGTAACAAATATACACAACCAATGTCACATTTTGTTAAAAATCTATTATTTCACCAATCCCATTGTGAAGTTTATATGCATCATTATCATTTAATTTACTGTGTAAGGAGATCATTTTTCCAGCTGCCGCATTTAGTAAGTTTCACAAGTTCCTGATAACATAACCAAGTTCTGATGACAAAAATGTCATTGTTTGGGGGCAACATTATTCACAATAAGCTACATTTGTTATCTTTATGATGAAAAGCTATTTACTTCTATAATTTTTACTTTTCCAATTTACTTATTTTGTTTATTATTCCAAATAATTATACTGAGCATTGTGACACATCCTGAAATGGTTTAAGGTAAGTATTTTATTTTAAAGTATTTAAGTTTTCCCTCTAAGAGCTACATTATATCCTCAGGCATATTTTATTTCATGATTTAATCAGGAGTATCCTGGACATGACCAAACTGCTAATGTGCTCTGGAGTGTCATCAATCACACAGCAGCTGGCAGAGCGGATGAGCCAGGCATGGGGCCAAGGCCAGGCCCAGGCAAGGGGACAGCCAGGGTGGCCTGAAAGGCAGAAGGACTGCATCTGGAACAGTGCAGGGACTCTGCTG